ATATATAGATACACACATATATATATATATATATATATATATATATAGTTACACACATATATATATATATATATATATGGGTACATTTACGTTGTTACTTTGATTATTATAGCAAACAAACTCTTACCTGATATGCTAAAAACACCCTTCTTGTGCAAATCCATAATAACCACGGGGGGATGGTAACCACAGTTAACACAAGAATATTTGTTGTCGGTATCTGTCAAGGCCTCGAAATGACAGTACCCATGGAGTATGGTGTCTCTGTTGGGGTGTTTTACTCCCCGTAAGCCCTCCAAAGTGTCTATAGCCCTGGAAACTGATACGTGGTTCTGGAAAAGACATAATGGGAATGGGTAAATTAAATTCTCTGAATGGCTTCTTTATTGGATGGGTACATTAGTTATAAAACACTACATAATAAAGACAAACCTGAAAACTGTGACTTAGATACAGACAAAGTTTGAGACTCAAAAGCACATGATCATCAAAATTGTGGAGACCATCCTGCCATTCCTGGAACCTATATATCATATTACACCCTAGGCATCTTCTGGTGTAAGTAGAGATGCCTAAAAAGAGTAAAAATAAACGATTATGATACATCCTTTTATAAAGCAGAAACATAAACAAATGTTTTGCTTAGTTCTGAGCGGTTTCTTTTAATCTGAATAATGAAAGTATATATTTGAAAATTGAATTTACCAGGGGTGTGGACTCTTGACTCAGACTCGAGTCCCAAATTTGATAACTTGCGACTCGACTCGACTCGACATAATTAAAGAAGACTTGAGACTCGACTTAGACTTTGACAGCAATGACTCGAGACTTGACTTGGACTTGAGCCCTGTGACTCGGAAAGACTTTATGATCAGATCAGAGTCGTTATTACTATTACCCTGCGTGCTTGCACTTGACTGGCAAAAAGCCAGAGACTGCGTTCAGGGAGCGCTGGATAGCCTATACATTATATGCTAGTATAAATTAATGGAGTAATAGCATAATTTACGACAAAATAAGAAAAAAATTACATGATTCGTCTAGTAGATATCTCCGCTCATGAAAAGCGCTGCCATGCCCGTTTGATCACCGCCCAACAGCAGGGGTGTGAAGTAATGGATTACAAATACACACGTTACAGTAATTAAGTAGTTTTTATCAGTAATTGTACTTTTTTGAGTAGTTTAAAAATTGTGTACTTTTACTTTTACTTGAGTACATTTTAAGTGATGTATCGGTACTTTTACTCTGCTATGTTCCTCCATTTGTGGTCGTTACATGCTTATTTTAATTTTATTTTTATCCATCAATGTGATTGAATAGAGAGTAATAGGTCTCGTGACTTTTGTCAAATCAAATTGTGCATAGAAAACTTTAACCGCCAACTGTTTATCATGGCTGCTGGAAGCGCATTCTTCAAGCATCAATTCTGTTGCATCTTCCTCTAACTTAATATGTTAAGGTAAATTTTGGATTTCTGCTTACTAAATGATTTGTATATATGCTTGCCTATCTACACGGCCTGAAATTTGGTGTGAGGTTACGGGTATTACGAGAAGGGTATAGCTGCAGCCCGGAGATCTCCAAATGGGGGAGAGAACTCCAAAACGGGGTGGGAGCTCCAAAATAGGGCGTGGCTTCCTCCCATTGACAGACAGGCACATGACACGCATGCACAATTTTTTCCCCAATCCACTTCAGTGCAAACTCTGCCCCACAGCTGATTCTAAAGATTTTATTGGTTGTGTCAATTAAAGTGTTGATTTCCTACATTATGCTACAAAAAATGCTAACCCCTAAACCTAACGTGGTTATACTAACTATCGGGGTCTAGACTAAGGGTCTAGAAGAACCGCTGATTAATGTTTGAGCATTACATGGGTAACTGTAGGGGGCTAAACAAACCTACTATTTAAAGTATATTAAATAGTATTAGCCACAAACCTCTGAATAAGGATCAAACTGGCGAGTTTGTAATCGTGGAGCCCACGCATAGCAGCCGCCGTGAGGCATCCTAAGCGACATAGATTCCTAATGAACGAGTAAATAAAAAATCATGAGTAAAACGGAATGATCCTAAATTTACTCACCTAAATTTAATGAGTAACAAACAACTCTCCTAACCCTTTTCATTTTTGGAGTCAGATGAATAAAAGAGGTAAAACACAAAAAAATTTATTTAATTTAATATTGTTGTGCTGCATAAAAGGAAAGACAGCAACATGCGAGAATCCTTACCGGATCACTGGCTACCGTCGTTGGACCATACAAGTTCAAACTGCAGTCCGAACACCACTGGCCACGAGCTTTGGGATCTGCTCTCACGGAGAATATTTACTTATATAGCATATTTTATTTTAGATGAACTAGAAACAATGTTACATTTATAAAGTTTTATTTTGAAATGTAAGTCAATAACAATTGGCTGGAGCCAGAGCAAATGTTGAAAGTCTTTGCAAGAGGAGACCTCGCCCCATTTTGGAGGTTCTTCCCACTTTTGGAATTCACGTCCCCATTTTGGAGATCTCCAGTCTGCAGTTATACCTACTTGGGTATTACATACACTGTTAACTCCCGCAAGTGCCACGTTCGGTAAATTCCCACTCACTTGCGAGTCTCTCTCTCGCGTGCATTCTGCAGCAGTCACTTGGATAAGTCTTCGTTGCTTGTTGAACTTGTTGACTTTTGATGAGTTTGAGTGCGTGATGCGCGCTGTGAAAATATATTAACAATTCGAGTAAATGTGTAAAAGGTATGGCATGAATTTGCCATCCTTCTAGAACAATGTGCATTTATGTTAAAATTGTAACATAAATTATCAAGTTTAGTTATTTTTATTTCTTTATTGCAAAACGCTAAAACTGGCACCGTTTTGGAGAGAAATTGGCTCTCATTTTAACCCATATCATTGTGTGATGCTGAACTTTCTAATGAATTTTCTAATGGTGTTTGTATTTGCACTGTTCTAAACATTATTATTTTATGTGCAACAACAGCATGCTGTCTCAGTGGCCTGACACATGATTTTAAATCTATTTTTTCAAACTTTATTATTTAAATGGGGATGATTGTACTGAGAATAACTTTCATCTTTTCTTCAACTGAATACTGTTTCCGTGCTGTTTTGATGTATTTTAAAGAGTTAGCAGTCAAAATTAAAACTGCTGGATGATAGATATTCTTCATTCTTTATGGCAAATAAGATAATGTGAATTACAGAATGTACAACGTTTTTTTAAATGTATGAATTGCGGTGTACAGCGTTTATTATGAGGGGGTAGAATCCACAGCTCAGTACTCACTACTCAATACTCATGAGTACTTTTAAATAGGCTACCGTTTTACTCTTCTTACTCTAGTAGTTTTTTGGACAAGTACTTTTACTCTACTCACACTACATTTTTTGGAAGGTAATGGTACTTTTACTTGAGTATATTTTTTCAGTACTCTTTCCACCACTGCCCAGCAGACACACGGAGCAGGCATGAGAAACGAGAGGCGCGGCCGCGATCACTGGTGCTCGCCTCATCATCACCGTGACCGCTTCTTTGTTTGTCCAACACTGAGGTGCACTATGAGTGATGGATCCGCATCACGGTCATCCCGCCACGAACCTCGCACTGCCAACTCGATGTGCTTTAATTTTTATTTCTAATGAGACCTTTTTTTGTCAGATCTCCACTTTTTTTGTTCAATCAGTTACATATTTTAATTGCATGTGCATTTTGTTTTATTTAAACCTCCATTAAATTTAAAGTTAATCCACAATCGAGATTTAAATCTGAGTTTAAAGTTATGGTGCAACAGGATTAAAGTTAATTTTAAATAGGCTATAACTTAAATCCAGGATCAAAATGATGGGTTAAAATGTAAACCTGCTTATTTTTAAAAGTTTGGTGCTACAGAATTATTAGATAAACCTTGATTTAATCTAGATTTAAAATTAATCACTGCAAACCATTTAGCTATAATTTGAAGGGGGGAAAATGCACATTAGGCCTTATGACTGAAGTGGACAAGCGGCAATAGGCCTAGTGATCATTTAAAATATAATTTTAAGTTTTTCTTTCACAAAATGAGCATTGAATATATAACTATAAAATATACAAAATTTTTCTCCCTCTTCACTCATGGCACTTTCATTTCTTTCAGGATAAATGAATGAATTTGCGTGTTGTAAATCAGTCTGTAGGCCTATAGTGCACTTATAGCCCCTAAATTTAGCGATCAAATGCATATTATGAACTTAACATTTAACATCCAAAATTTTTTTCTATAAAATTATTTTGTCTTTGTTACTCTTAGATATAAAGGGTGACAGCACAGCATTTTTAAAATATTGTCTTCATGAGTTTGTCTCCATCCATATTGCATGTTTCCTCTCACTTGTAAAGTATGGTAGCAGTTATTTCTTCTAATTCTTTCAAAGCAGTTCTTTTTGCGTTTCCGCTCACGTTTTTAAATTTGTTTCTTTGAGGTTCCAAAAAATGGCTAATTGGCTTCGATATAACACCTAGAAGCATATATTCTTATTCTTATGCACACATGCAAAGTAGCCTATGTTGCAGCTGTATTTCAATGAAATTATGTTGTCTTAGCTATTTTGTTACCAATTAAATATATATATTTTTTTCACTGCTTGTCTTATTTTGGCACAATCCCTAAATTGAACTTGAGTAGTTTTACTAAAGGCACCTCTCTCACATGAAATGGAACTATGTCAAACATATTCTACCTGCCTTCCTGATATAAATTACTATAAGTTTGATATGGTAATTAATTCTGAGACACTAATTTGGGAAAAAAGCACTAATGACTTGTTTAAGACTTGAAGCTAAAAGTTGAGGACTTGCAACTTGACTTGGACTTGCCTGTCTTGACTCGGGACTCGACTCGAGAATTGAATGCAAAGACTCGAGACTTACTTGTCACTTGCAAAACAATGACTTAACACCTCTGGAATTTACCATCAATGACACTTTCCATGGTTACAATTTTAGCTTTCGCAGTAATTAGTGCTGGCTCATCAAGTGCAATTTCACCATCGCAGATCATACAAGTTCTCCACTGGAAGATACCTTGATGGAAATGTCTTTGATCTGGCTGCTGCTTCTGGGAGATTATCTGGAATTTTATTTTTGTTATATATATATATATATATATACAATTCATTTTTCACGTAGGGCCACGTAGGTTTGGACAGCTATTTTCCCTTAATAAATGAAATCATCATTTAAAAACTGCATTTTGTATTTACTTGCATTATCTTCGTGTAATATTTAAATTTGTTTGATTATCTGAAACATTAAAAACATGCAAACATGCAAAAAAATAAGAAATCAGGAAGGGGGCCAACACTTTTTCACACCACTGTATGTATATATGTATATATATATATATATATAGTCACGGGAGGAGCACACAACAGACACAGTTGGTGTGGCGTCAGGCCTCGGAGAGGCTTTTATTAACAAAATAATATAACAAAGTGTCCAGAAAAGGGAATAAAGTGTCCAAAATAAACAGGGGATCTGGTGTCCTCGTCGGGTTAGTTAAGGTGGGGCAGTGTTCGAGAAGGAAGGGGCCAGGTAAGGGGTGGAGTCCGGCGGCCGCACGTGCTCCCCTCTTGGTCCCGTGGGGCGACTTCGTTCAGCAGCTTCATCCTTCTCTCTCGGCCCACGACGCTTGAAGGGACTGGACGGCCTGTCATCCTGGCCCGACGGCCGTGTAACGCGTGCGGTTCTTGTCCGGACTCTAGCGGCACGGGAGTCCCTCTACGCACCCTTCCTGGACCCACAAGGACACTAACGTGCATGCACGGGGAAGAGGCCGGTCTCCCGAGGAGAGGTGCACTCGGCATTTAAACAGCGGCGGTGATGAGGCTCCATTCGGTTCAGGTGTGCCCCATCACACGCCGCCAGCCCTGGCTATTTCAGTTCCCCTCCTCTCTCACGCACCCACTCCTGTCGGGAGCCTGGCGAAGGGTGGCGATTAAGGGACAGGGTGATGATGATCATTAGGGGGAGGCAGCCGACTCGTCACATTATTTTCCACAGTGCTTTGAAGGTCAATTGGAGGAGTGTCGATGTGCTCATCTGAGTGCTGTGGACACAAGGTGTCACTCGATTTAGTAGCTTTCTCTGTTGTGAATAAGCTCTTATTTGTTTGAAATAAGTGCCATTTGGTAATATTTTTGTGAGGGCAAGACATTCTGGGCTTTGCACATGGGCAGTGCCAAGTACCAGCAGAGGATTTTTATGTGACCATTACTCTTCCAAGGCGATTGTAGTGATGAATAATTGGCTCATGTATGGAGAGGGTGATTTGCTCTTGAGATTTACCTAATGCCACCAACACTGAAAATGGGACATGAGCTGCCTGTGCAAATTTTTGCCTCTTCAAACAAATTGCCTTCTTTGCTTCTCCTATGAATCTGAGCTTCACCATCTCATCAAGGACACTTGATTCCAAGTGCTCCTCAAATGCTGTTTCAGAACAATAATCCAGTGAATGAAGATGTTCACAAAGACTAAACGTGTGTCCACTCCAGTGAGCAAGTAGCTGGTATTGGCGACATTCCTCCAACTCACACCTAACATAATGAGCTTTGCCCCACGTCTTTCTCTGTACATGAACTGGTACAGAGAAACCATGACCACTTCTTTGAACTGCCGACAGTCCATTTGAGGAGTCAATACACACACTAGAAAGATGTGATTTCATTGTAATATCGCTTGAATGGTCAGTATGTTTTCTGTTAATGTGGATTACCAAGTTCTTTTTTATCACAGTGACTGAACAATGTGGGCATTTAATCACAGTTTTGCTTTTTGTTGTTGCGGACAGAGGAACCAGTGCAGGTGTCACTGCGGCCAAAGGAACTAGCCCAGTTGTCGTTGGGGACTAAGGAACCGGGGCAGGTGTCGTTGCAGGATGTAGTGGAGACAGTGCAGGTGTCAATGCAGATGACAGAAGAGCCAGTGCAGGTGTCGTTGTGGGCAAAGTAACCAGTGCAGGTGTCCCTGCAGTCAGGGGAACCAGTGCAGGTGGAGTTACAAATGACAAAGGAACCAGTGCAGGTGTTGTTTTAAAGGGTTGTGAAGCCAAAGAGGATGAAGAAGGTTGGATGGGTACATCTGATGATGAGCATATCTGAAGGTGAGTTTCCATAACATATCTCCTGAGAACAGTTTTGCTGCAATTGGGGCAATGGTAATGAGCCTCATTTCTGCAGGGCAAATGGCAACGACATAATCTCTTGTCTGTAGATAAAGCACAGTATGAAAATCAAGACCAACAATACCAAAGCATTAATATAAATCAATACTCAGTAAATCTTGAAAAATCAATCAATAGTCAGATGATGACAATTAGGTACAGTAACTTTGAAGTCTTTATTTAAATAGTGGTTTTGACAGCACAAATTGTTTCAGAGCAGCACACTGTAATGCTTAATGTCAGGACAATTATGTATGACTGTGTTTGAGCCTCTATAAGTAAGCTACAATTACAGTAAAATAGAGTAATTAACCTACCTTGGAAAACAATTGCCTTTTTTAAATGGCCTTCCCAGTGTTGCTTGATTTTTTTCAGGGTGGTTGGCTTCAGAGCAGGGCATAAACTGCAGTGATACATAGTGCAACATGAGGTGCACTGTGGCACCAGGGGTTTTTCCGAAACTAACAATATTGATTGATGCATCTGTAGGAGCAGGATAGAAGAAACCAGTTTATATATATATATATATATATATATATATATATATATATATATATATATAATATAAAATGTCACTCAAATGTAATAATCTGAACTGAGAAACAGGGTAGAAGCAGGACAAAATATCAAATGTGGTGTTTTACAATATGTTTCACACTACCTGTTTTGCCAATAAAAACACCACATTTAATTATGTCATCCATTTTAGTTCATTTTAATCAGTAACGCCACAATCACTTCCACTAAGCTATAACGTTACAGTTGTTTAGGTGTAAGCCATATAATTAACTTACAACAGTATATATACCATTCTGTTCAGTAGTTTATCTTAGTTTAGCTGTATTTAAGATAGTGACGGAGTGGTTACATGGTTGGCTAGTTAGTAGGCTATTCAATTAATGCAAATTTTTAAACACAAACAGTGAGCAGCGAATACGTTGACAGACATAATTTTGCATATCATACTGCATAAAACGTACAATAAACACACACAGATACATATATGCACTTACAGCAATGATTCTTGAATGACTTTGGAAGTTATTTTCAATCCAACACGTCCCACTATACGCCAATTGCCAATGGCGCAGGTACCGTATAGGCTTAGATCTCTGCCACAATTCTGCGTGCGAAAGATCATATTTTGAGCGCACAAAAGTGCATTTTGCACGCGCGATCTGAGTTTTGTGGAGAAAACCTTTGTTTCGCAAAGAAAAAACTATTTAGACCGCACAAAAATCAATTTTGCATTTAAAATAAGTTTTTGGATGTGTGCAGACCTTCTCTTTTGCTCGTGCAACGTTTCACTAGCTTGCTCCCTTGATGCCAGGCTGCCAGCCCTCAGTGCTCTCTAAATGCCAACAGCTCGCTTGCTCAACACAACCTAGCGTTACAATATGCCATAATTCCAGCCAATCAGAGATGAGGCTGCTAAATTCTGATTGGCTGCCTTGACAACCACTCACAGCATTCCTTGCATTACCTCGACAGCAGAAGAGGAAAAACATACAGTGCATGCATAATTATTATGCAAGTTGATATTCTGATCATATTTTTTTCCAAGCACATTTTACCAATTCCAAACGACATCAATCTTAATAACTACTATTAATCTTGTATTTAATCATTTATAATTGATATATAATTATTCATGAAGGCTGGAAGTGAATAGATGTGCTGCAGAGTTAGTGCATCAGAGAAAACAAAGAAGAAGAGCTGCTGTGCTGGAGCGTAAAATTTTCGGCATGTCTAGAACAATTCTTACAAGTACAACATGATGTAGCTGGGCGCTGCGAACAGACACTGAACGGCGCCGCCGGTGTGCCTACACTCATAGAAAATAATGTATTTGAATTTTAAAGACGTGGCGCGACGCTGGGCTTCTTGTCCGGTGTGCGACCGCCTGAAATGCTGTTTTTTTCACCTCCGTGCCCAAACGTCTTTATTTGGGCTTCCGAAAGCGGATGATGTCAGGAAACAGTGGTTACAATTTATTTTTTAACTCTGTTCCTGAGCATTATAACCCCAATTTGCTATTGTGTGCTGCTGCTGGCAGAACTGAAACACAGTCTAAGCTGTTCGCCAATCACAACGCACTGGGACAGCTAACCAATCACAACACATTTTGTTTTTCGGAAGGCGGCCTTCATCAAAGCCGGAACTAATCGAGCCGTTTGTACCAGGCTGGGGAGAAAGGTATTTTAATAATGTAAATTATGTGAAAAATATAATTTTCGAATATGGTTTTTCGAACCACCAAGCATGAAAGCATGTTCTAGTACACCCCAAAACAAAATCAAGACTTTGTAAAAGAGCATAATAGAACCCCTTTAAATGTAATTGTGCTGTATTTCTGTAAAAATTTTATTTTATAGGGCATTTGTACAGACTTTGTATTTTGTCTTCCAAATAAAACGGTTAATCATCTTGAGCATGCTTTGACACTATATTGAAGGTTTTTGATTGTAATGATTTGTAAAATAAGTGTTTCTCTGTAGAACATTTAGTGCTTTCATTGTAATAATCTAGGAAAAATCTGTAAAAATAAGGGTTTTACACTGTAAAAAAAAGTCCTGTAAAAAATGCCAAACAAAAATCATGAAATTCAAATAAATTATCGTAATTGAAACAAGAAAAAATCTGCAAAATAAGGGTTTTACACTCTTAAAAAAAGTCCTATGGCTGCCAAACAAAAAACGTAAAATTAAAGTAAAATATCATAATCGAAACAAGGAAAAATCTGTAAAATATTTTTTTTCTGTAAGACCTTTAATGAAAATTACTGTAAAATTATTGTTTTTGCACTTTATTTCAATTAAGATATTTTACTTTAATTTTACAGTTTTTGTTTGGCAGCCGTAGCTGCAAGTCATTTACACATTTTTTTAGTAATTTATAGATGTTTTCTCCAGAAGTAAATTTTGATTTTTTTTGAGAAATGCTTAATGCTTATCAATTTAACTAATCCATAATTCAAAAAAGATTTTAACTGACAAAATTTACTGTAGATTTAGTAACTCCTGAAAACTCTTTCCACATTGAGAGAAGGTGAAAGGCTTTTCTGAGGTGTGAATATGCACATGCTCATTAAGTTCTTTTTTTCTGTGTGAAACTCTTTCCCCACTGAGAGCAGGTAAAAGGCTTTATTCCAGCATGAATTCGCATGTGATTCTTAAGGGTTTCTTTACGTGACAAAGTCTTTCCACACTGAAAGCAAGTGAAATAATTTTCTGAGGTGTGAATATATGCATGTTCATTGAGTTGTTTTTTCTGTGTGAAACTCTTTCCACACATAGAGCCGGTGAAAGGCTTTATTCCCGCATGAATTATCATGTGATCCTTAAGGCTTCCTCTATGTGACAAAGTCTTTACAGTTTTTGAGAAACTCACTGATTTTTCTCCAGTGGTGACATCATGATCTTTCTGATCCTGATGCTTCTCCTCCACTTCATTCAGATCTTGTTCTTCTTTCACTTTCATCAGGCCTAAAATGAAAACATTGAGTGATGAAAGTGATGAAAATCAATTGGGACATTTGGAGAACAAAAGTAAATTATGGTACATTCACACAACGACATTGTACTAAAACCAGAATTTTTCTTAGCATTTTGCTGACAAGCCAGTAGATGGCAATGTCACGTTGTAAAGAAACACTATGTGCCTATAGACTGAACACTTAATACACATGCGCATGATGTAACTGTTTTCACAAATTTGTATTTTTGTAGCGTGTAAACTTTGGAATTTGCACTTTGACACCTGTTTTCAAAAGTTAGCATTTTCAGACCCCCAAACTGCCATTGTAAATGAACAGCCAAGCTGTTTGTTTGTTTGATTTGACAATTGTGTCTTGTAAACACCTCTTAAATGAATTCCAGTAGAACTTATGATTAGAGCCAGACCGATATATAATTTTGACGATTTTATCGGCTGATATGATTCTGTTGCAGATATATCTGTATCGGAGAATATGCCGCAGATATGCCGCCGTAGTTTTTTTTTTTTTTCCAGAACATAACATGAAATTCTTCAAAATGGTGTAATTACTTAGTTTGTCCAGCAGAACGCTCTATTGTTTGCTACTGGCAACCCAGGTCACTGTAGTGTAGAAATACGCGGATGAGCTCAAACTTCACACTTAGAGTCCGCTGCTACAAATTATCCACCTACCCACCCGCACCTATTTTTGATTGTTCCATTAAAATGATTCTAATTCTTAGTTTTGCATGATGATATGATGAATGGATGGTACATTTTTAACAGCTGATCTTAGAGCTGATCTATGCATCACTGCATGGATCTGTGGCGCACCGGAGCTGATCGCGGCAGTCAATGCTTGTGTTTATACCAGCCACGCCGTGTCCCGGAACTCATGCTTATCACATTGGTCACATCACATTTCCTAAGTCAGCATAGTGTGTCAGTACTACAGTCAGTAACATAGCAGATAAAAAGTTAGTATCTTTCTGCAATCCAATAGACTGCAGTGAGCTGGTGGCTTAATTCTGTTGAATGGTGATTTAACACTACAGAGACGCAATGCTATAAAGTAAATAAACAATGTCCCCATCTTTTACTCTCACAATAAGCTTATAATACTCCTTTGCTACATTAGTAGGACCCTATGATTTCCGCGATGCAGAAAAAACGGATGGAAGCGCGGAATCCAGTCATAAAAAGGGAATTTACTGTAGGCCTATAATGCGGAATTTCGCGGAATCTGTCATATTTTGATGAATAAATAAAAAACAGGTCAGTACACTTAAATCAAATCACGATATAGACTAGTATCTGTGAATATTAAACTGCAAAAAGACTATTTAAATACAAATCCTCATGTTCTGCGTGTTCATTTGATTACCAGAAAATACACAATGTAGTGAACAGCGGTCAAGATGGCAAGACTCCTTTCCACACAACAAGTGGAATTTAAGGGGGTCTGAATACTTTCCGTACCCACTGTATGTTCTGATGAGATCAGGCATGTGGACAACAAAGGATGCTTTTTGTTTTAACATAACACTACCTCTTGTGGAGGGAGGGGTTAACATTAACATACAGTAACCCCCAGGCAGGAAATGCCTTAGTCTTCCTCAAACTTATCATTTGTGGAAGGATAAGGATGTCAGCATTTCATGGATCAAAGACTGATCCAATCACTATGTGGTCTTTCACTGATCGCTGTAATGAAATTAACTACTTTGTAAGGGAATTAATTATTATTAATTCATTCAGGTTTTAAAAGGACTCAAATCTGAAAATTCTGAGTCAACCTGATTAAAGCTGAATTCAAATCTGACATCCTTATCCAATCACTATGTGGTCTTTCACTGATCGCTGTAATGAAATTAACTACTTTGTAAGGGAATTAATTATTATTAATTCATTCAGGTTTTAAAAGGACTCAAATCTGAAAATTCTGAGTCAACCTGATTAAAGCTGAATTCAAATCTTATAGTTTACACTTTAAATCAACGACTCGTCCAGCGAGACGTTAACGTCCGTATATATTAACGATTCTGTTCATATTAACTCGTGGCCAACGACACATGAACAAAATGGTAATCTTATTAATTTTGAGCAAGGTAACAAGGATCTTGGCAACAGTTTTAACCTTAAAATTATATGACACCAAACAATGATTCTTTATAAATGAAACATGAATTTTATTGGCTATTCTAGATTACATCAAAACTAAGCTAAAACACACATACACACAAACATACAGTTTCTTTAGAATGAGAGTTGACGGGGTTGCATGAAGTTTTAAAGTTCTAACTCGTTTTCACGCGTGATTTAAATTCACCTGAGAGAATTCACAAAGCAGAGAATTTTAGCTTATGTTTACTGCTTAAAGTAGCTCGACACCAGTTCAGCAGAGATACGATTTTGTTCGTTTACTTGCATTCTGCTTGGTTGACAGCTGAAAAGTTGAGATGACGTTGCTGACACGGGCTTCCTGGATGGTTGCTGAGGGAACCCCGTTGCTGATTGGTTACTGAGGTGACGTTTGGATGACGTCCTTTTGGAAGACCCCTCGTTGGATTGGTTGGTCTCTTGATGATGCCAGAAGCTTGAGCAGTTTGCTACAGTCTGAGTTTGCAAGACTCAGAGTTCTTTGACGATTGCGAAGTTTCACTGAATTGTTTGAGTTTTAGATGACCGATCGCTTTGATGGTAAGCGTGTGAGCACAAGTTGAAGTGGTCTTAACATGGCGACAGGCGAAAGCAAGCAAGCAAATCTGTTCTGCTCCGATACTTTCAAATGATTGTCTTATGAATCGTCTGTGTAAGTTTGTGTCCCTTTTTTTGGAATGCAGGGAGGAAAGGGGAGGTGTCCTGAAGTCATGCCCATGTCAAGCGAGTGTGGATCTGCCATCCTTCTGCTGGACAGGGAGCTCTAAAATTGTCTCTTTTGTTGATCGGATTTAACAATTTATGTGTTAAATGGTCAGGGGTATCGATATAGGGGATATCGATCCGATACCAGCGCAGTTTTTATAAATGAGTTTAGAATTTCTATACCTCAATGTGTAGGTCGATCATCACTCTTTTGTATGTTACACACAATCTACTAAATATAGACAGCTTCATTATAAAGAAAACATAACAAAAAAATATATATAATCAAAATCTGACAAAAATAATATTATAAACTAGGTTAATGGATAATTCAGTAGCAAAAGTTACTCTAGAAAAATCATAAGTGCACAATAGTTTTATAAAATCCTAAACATTTAGTGAAAAAAAATACATTGTTTAGTGGGTAACAAATAAAAGTGAATAAGTGTAGGGCTAAATCTGGTAGGCCTAAGGCTATTAATAATCTTTCATTGCGCAAAAGTATTATGATACTAAAGGCTACAAATACAGAGCGGCTCAAAGCTTGAAGCAACACAGAGTCACAGCGCGCAGCATAGAGAAGTTCAAAGCACAAAGTGAAGAGATATTGATGCGTAGTGTATTAAATGTGTGCTAGTTTATTGAGCCTTTTCTTTTAACAGTTTTACATTTCAGTTACTGTGCTCGTGACGAACAATTCATAGTGCTCTCTACTCCAGTTTTGCTCATTCATTCTTGTCAGTGTCTACATTCCTCCGCAAGCACACGTGAGCTCCGCTTTACAGAAACTCGCTGATCAGATCACAGAGACAGAACAATAACACCCGGACTCTGTTTTAATCATTCTTGGGGACTTTAATAAAGCAAATCTCTCCTGTTAACTGACAAAATACAGACAGTTCACTGTTCACTGTTACACCACAATAAAGAATACATATCACTCTGTTCCACGAGCAGCTTTGGGGCTCTCTGATCACTGTTTAGGTAATCTTATACCGACCTACAATATTAATAAGGAGAGTCTGAGATTTATTTGACAGTGATTTCACATTTCTTGTTTGTATGAAGGCTAAATACCAATAAAAGGTGAACATGTATTTATTTGCGCCATTTTTTTCCTAAAATATAGTTTTATAGGAGTAGGTTTCATAGAGTTGGCAAATTAATTTTTCATAAGTTTGTAGGTACAGACATCTGTTGTGGCCGTTCTTGGCTGTTTTTGAGGCTTTTTTAATAGTGTTCATATAGATATCGGAATTATATTGTATCGACCGAAATTAAAAAATATATTGTGATATCAATTTTGGCCATATCGTCCAGCCCTTGTATCTTTTTATTCCTTATTTACTTGTTCTATTTTTTATTAATTTTTTATTATCAGTTTTTTTGTTCTGTCACTGTCATTCTGTTGCACTGTGGAAGCTTCTGTCACGAACACAAATTCCTCGTATATGTGTAAACATACCTGGCAATAAAGCTCATTCTGATTCTGATTCTGATCAGCATCTTTGGGGGCCTTAAAGTATAGTTCACCAAAAAACTTTCTTCAAAATATCTTCCTTCGAGTTCAGCAGAAGAAAGAAATTTATACAGGATTGGAACAACTTGAGGGTGAGTAAATGTTTTGAAAAGTGCAACGTGCATCTTGTACAGTCTATAGGCATGTATTATTTCTTTGCAAAATGAAGATTCAATGATCTGTGTGAATGGGATCGTTTTAACAACTTTGTTATCTGTATGTGTAACTTTCAAAAAAATACAAACTTTTCAGTTTTTACCCTCAGATGCATTTGGAAGTAATTTAATTTCTTCATCTGTTTATTTGTTCATCTAATTTACATTATTTTACAGATTTTATAACTAGTCACTAAATCTGATGAGCTGTCTACACGGTATCTGCAGGTATCAGAACATAACATTTAATACTTTTAAATGCATTTATATAAAAAAACTAGCTAAATAAATAAGAATAACTGAAAAATTACATGACATATCAGCTATAATGGATTATGTTCATGCATATACATAAAATTTAAGCAAGACTCCATCGACTATGCAACAAAATCACTTGCTCATGTAGACATACAAATGAACAATGGACCTTTTCACATTTCTGAAATTATGTAAACTAGGGCTGCA